AAGATGAGCTTCAAGATCCCTTCTAAACCAAACCATTCTGGGATTCTACAAATTTCCTATTGGGTCAAACCCACAATAGCGATTCCTCTGAATTATTTTCTACTGCAAGCAAAAGGGAGACAAAACTGAAACAGGTGAACACAAACTTGCTGAGGTTTCACCAAACTGGTTTTAAATAATGAGTCAACTTAATGCAGACAATCAATATTAAATATTGAAATCTTAAAACTCATTAATTCAGCTACAGCAAATTGCTCTCAGAATTTTTACAGCTTCAGGTTAAAGACTTGGCATTTCCTAAAATCCATAAAAGCCCCTTCCAGTGCATCCTTCAGCATTTCTCTKCAGGCTCTGAGCACAATGAATCCGAGCTGAGCCCACCTCAGGCAGCACTGCTGAAATCAGGTCACCCCGAGCTGTGTTTATGTCACTGAAATCAGGGCATCCATCCCATTCCTGCTTCCCAAATCCTCCTGGAGCACAGGGACAAAGGGAAGGATGTGGGCACAAAACAAAATAACACCGGGATGTCCCAAGCTGGGGGTAACAGGATTGGATATCTTAAAAAGCATGGCCTCAGTAAACTTGGTTTTAAAACATGACCAGCGTTTGCCAGGCTGGGAGCAGCGGCCCAGCTCAGCCTTAAGAGGTCTATATTAAGAACATCCTACTTTTCCCCGTGCAGCCATAAATCCAGAATCCTATTTAAGTGGTCACTGGCAGCTGGAGATGAAACAAGGCCAGGAACAAGAGGCTGAAGTTTTCGAAACTGGGTGACAAATGTCAGGCAAAAACCCAATTATTTAGACCAAAAGGCAGATTAGGAGGGAGGGACTACTGCTCCAAAAGATTTAAAATATCCAATTTATAACACTTCCTCTCCCCAGCAGGTTTAGCTTCAGCACCACACAAAAACATTTCCTTAAGGCRAAATAAAATCTGACAATAGATTTGATGCAACTCCTTGGAATTTGCACGTTTTCCAAAATAAATAAAAACTATGCATTTTGTAAGGGAATAATTAACAGCTTCTAATCTGAGCATTAATTGTGTCTGGTTTAAAGAGGGAAGATAAAACCAATTGTTCTCAGTATGTCAGAAATTGCTGACAAGATGGAGGTAGGGAAGACTTTATTTTTGCTTTTGAGTATCTCCCTTGGCTTCCATTTACAGGTTATGAGACTGGGTAGGAAAAAAAATACAAATACTTGTACAATTCACATGCCATAATGTATTCCCTGGAATTACCCAAGCACAGAGATCTTCAGGGCCAAGTCATTAAGACAAAGCTTAGGGGGAAAGGATTTTATTAAAAACTATCAAGTTTCACCATTTCATTTTGCACAGTTTCTAAAGGATTTTTTGAGATGAAATGAAAATMCTCAAAAGGAAACAGGGAAAATATCCTTACTTGCCTGCAGCAGTGAGGGATGATTGGACATCAGTCAAGAGATCCTTTTCCACCCTGAATTCTCTCACACTATACAAGATATCAATATTGCTTTTATTTTGTCACAAAGGATAAATCTGGCACACAAAGACCAGCAACTCTTTAAGAAAACCCCTTMTGGCTCAACATCGAGTAAAAAATCCAACTGTTCCCATCCAAACTCACACAGGTTGGGAAGCTGAAGAAGAGCAGGAGTTTGAGTAGCATTCAGTCAATGCTGTCTGTGCAGTGCAGCTGATTCAACATTTTCAACTGACCCAAAAAGCCTTTACTGACTTAAAATTGCATTTTTGGTCCCTGAGAGGGGAGAGATCCCTCATGTCCAATCCAGCATCCACTGGAAGTTACTGCTCCCTGGTGAGCCATCCTGGTGGAACTCCCAAACTCAGCTCTTTCTTCTGCAAGCAAGCATTAAAAATGAGATTTTATAACCCAACATAAATCCTTCAAGCAAGGGGAATGAGTTCTGCAACCCCCACCCCTCGTGTCTGGAAGGGACAGGAGTAAAATGTGCTGATAGCAAAACCACTGAAGGATGAAAATTTCCTTTACTGATGGCAAAAAGGTTCTTCCACTCTCCCAAACTTTATTTCTCTTTGCCTGTTATGAATACACGCTAAACATTTAGCAAAGAGGGTGGATGAACATTTTGAAGAGGCAAATCTCAGGCTGTAGATGGTAAATCTAAATGTCTCTGATCTCCTCTTCAAAGGCTCAGAGGAATGAAAGAGAATTCTGCCAGAATATACAGAGCGGCAACTGCATCTTAGGGATGTTCTAAGGGGAGTATTTCCCAGGAGTGAAGCTTAACTGAATTCCTTTTACAGATTTTTTTCTGATTCCATATTTTCAGCACAAAAGAAGGGTATAATTTAAAATTAAAAAAAAAAAAAAAAAGAACACACGATGGCTACAATCTCTTTTACTTAAATAATGAAAAGCATCTTTTCCTTCAAATTTAGCAGGCACAAGAATAACCCTACGTTTATGTAACAGATTGAACATCTGGATTTTAATGAAACTCCTTCCTTGTTTCCTGGGATAAAGCTCTTCACAGTTCCCCAATATCAGAAGGACTTAGCACAGCTGTTCTGGAMGGCATTGGTTTGCTTTGCTCTGCTCGATTAAAGAAACATATTAAAACCTCAAAATACACAAACTGACACCTGTATTTTTGCTGATCCACAGYGAAAAAAGTCCAGGAGAGTTGGAACAGAGAAAGAACTGAGAGGGAGAGATGGAAAAAGCCTGAGATTTCTACAGCTTCTTATGGGGTGAGGAGAAAAAAAAGCTTWAGGAATCATTACCTCCAAAGCATTCCTGCCACAGGAGACACACAGGGAAGTGAGAGCAGCCAGTAAATCCACACTCTGGAATACTGAGAGAACAGCCAAACTTGCTGCTTCTCCCATCAAAATTCCTAAAGCGTCCAAGGAAGAATGCAGGAACACGCCCTGCATTGCTCAGTCCTGCTGTGAGGRATAGTTGGGAGCCTCTGGTAGCTTTTAAGATGCCAAACAATAGTTCCAGGGATTAATTAAAGTTGGGAGGGTGGAGCAAAAACCCTCTGAAACCCAAGGTGTGCTGAGYATACATACCTCAGTCATTTATTTCAGCCCACTAACCCAAGATAAAAAGAGAATTTCARTTTATCTCTAAATTAAGAATTTTTGTTGTAGTCAACAATAATCAACAGATTTGAAAAGAAAAAATGCTATTATTGATGTAATTATAAGTAAGATTTTCTTTAAAAATTCAGTGCTCAAGCATGGTCATTACAGAAAAATGGTATCTATATAGAAAATACAAACATATAGAAATATGATTATTACAGAAAAACTAAGATGCTTGTTTTCCCACTGCTAATTAAAAGACAAGATCAAAAATTCTCATACCTGGAAATCTTCACTCACATTTTCTGTACCCTGTATCCTAAAAATATTTCCTTTTGGAAATAAAATACATTTTTCCTGCTTATCTCCATAGCTTTAAGCAGACGTTCTCCATCCTAGTTTGATTTTCCTGCTCTCTCCTCCAGCGCTCCATAGAAAGTGTCTGCAAATGTCAGCAGGACTGACCCCACTCACGGATTTGTGATTTAAGAAGCACTTTGGGACCCAGGACATGACAAATTTCAGATTCCTAAAACTGGTGTTCAATGGTTCCTCCACCTTGGCTCAGTTATAGCCCTCCACACGCTCTAAACATTCATTTAAAGAAATGATTTTCCTTCAGAATTAGACCACAACCACTAACATTCCAGCCAAAGCAGCTTTCATCAGATCATTACTTACATTAAGGAGGATTTAGTGCCAAATCAGGCCTCTTCCTAACATGACAGGGAGTCCCCCCCACCCAAGCTGTGGTGGAAAGAATTTGTTCTTCCCACATCACTGTATTAATTTTTAAAGAATGAAGTAGAGTATTCAGTACAGAAACTCACACCCCAAATACTGAGGGTATAAATATTTAAATACACACAGATTCAAAGCATTCCTCCTCCAAGAACTGCTGAGTAAGTAATAAAGGAAATTAAACAGCAGCATTGTTGCCAAAGTACAATAAAAGCGGCACGAAGTAGCAAAATTATTTTGGAAATATTCTGTATTTCTTATTTATTCTTAATCCAAGACCAKGTTGGATGGGGCTYGAAGCAACCTCGGACAGTGGAGCTTCAAGATACCTCCCAGCTCAAATCATCCCATGACTCCATACTGAACAAAAGGAACAAATTTTCAAGCAGTCCCTTTTAAAGACAGAAACTGAAAAGCCCCTTCACACCCTCCCCATCACATCAAACACTGGAACACATTCACAAAAGCAGCCTGGCACTGCTACCTTTGGGAGCTGACAGTAAACAAGAGCTTTTTAAATCGATTTCTGGCACTACACACATCCTCTCCAAAGCAAATATTTAACCAGGCATCTGAGGAGACATCAATGCCATGGAGCAGATCCACAGAGATCTCAGATCCCAGCCCCCTGCAGGCAGCATTCCCACTCTCCCAAAGGCACCATTCACTCTCAATTCTACCAGCAACTCCCAAAAGCAATGGAACAACACTTTTGGATGGGGTCGCCTGTACTTACAGCCATGGTAGGATGCTGGGGATCCTCCAGACTTCCCATACTCCTGCTCTGAGTAGCTGGTGGAAAGGTTGGGCTGACTGGAGCCTCGGCCAAAGGTGATCTGGTTGCTGCCCACCCCAGTGGCCACCTGAGCCATGCGTTCTTTGGTCTTCAGAGCTTGGGCCCTCTCTGTCTTGAGGCGCTCGTCATCCTTCAGGAGGGACACCAGCTGCTTGGATTTCTCCCTCACATTGATGCCCTGGTCTTTCCCATCTCGATCAATGTACTGAAAATCTTTCAATGTCTGGATAGCAAAAATATTCTCTTTACACTGCTGGGCCACCCTCTCAGAGCCAGTTTTAATCAGGTAATCTAAGAGAGTCAGGGCCTTGTACACGTGTCGCCAGTTCTTGCCGTGGTCGTTCAGTCGTTTCCAGATCATGCTCATAATTTCAGAAAAGGCCACAACATTGTAGGTCAGATCTGCTATTTCAGTCATCAGTGAACTGGAAGGACCCCAGGGGTCATTTGAGGTCGCTTCTCGAACTTTTATTTCGGCCTCTGAGTAATTGTTCACAATGTTCTTCATCTGCCGTCTGATAGACGAAGTCGTCATTTTTATTTCCCTTTTTACCAAGACAGATTCCAGAACACAAACAGCAAAGGGCTAAATTTGCTCTTGCAGCAACGTTTCTAAACAGCGAAGGCTCCGTAGCAGTGGCTTATTTGTAACACGTTCCACTACAATCATTTCCTCTCCTCAAGAGAATGACACGAGAAAATTAAAATCATGACCTGAGTGAGGARAGAAAACAAAGCAGGTTAGTTGGGTCTGATTGTTCCTGCCCRGCCAGCAAGCCACACACACTTGGGAGAAATTCTCCTAGATTAACTTTTTTCTCCTTGAATTTATTCTGATTTTGAAAACAACTTGCTCTTCTCACGAGTCACATTCAACATTTAAGATTAAAAACCTGAAGTGCTGAGCAAAACAAAAGCAAGGAGATAATCATGCTGAGASAAAGGCAAGATTTTGAAAGCAAACCAGAAACAAAGTCCAACCTGGAGACTTGGTTTCCAAAGTAGAACCTACCTCAAATGTTTAATTACRGAAATTACAGAGCTCAGATGGAACCACATGAGAGATTCCGTGTTCAGCAGCCACTCACTTCCCTCTAACAGTAGGAATCTGCATCCAGAGAGAACAAGCAAGCTTCCTAAAAATCAACCAAGCAATTTCTGAAAGCCTGGGTAAGTTTAAGGCACTCTCAATCTGAGGGCAGAGATCCTGTGGCCCAACACACTCCAATTCAAGGTGACCTTTCATGATAAGCAGATTAGAAGGAATTTTTTTTTCCCAAATGCATTTACTTTGTACATTTGACAACACTCATCAGATCCACTGTTTCTGCTCTGCGTGTCTTTCAAACAGCACAGAAGAATTTTTAATTGTATGAGAATGAAATTGTAAAGCCAAAATGATTGGCAAGARAAGACAAGGGCAAGCTGTGGAGCTGGAAAGCTGTGTCAGTTCTTTAGTTAAGGTCACTGTTTCAAGTAAACAGAGGCCTATTAAGCTYTGGAATAAATTACTTGAGCAAACGGGCAGATTTGCCACGACAGTAACACAGAACAGCCCTGAGAGCCACCAGTTGCACAAACACTGAGCAGGGACTCAGGGACTGAACTGACCACATTCACAGAGATGCCCATTCCAGATGTCCTTTAATAATGTTCCTCCAAACACTCCAAAGAACCAACCCCATCCCTCACAGAGACACTGGAGACAAGGAAAGCACAGACTTGAAGCCTCACATTGTTATCATTCTTCAAATTACTACAGTGCCRTTTGAAATGAAAGCAGAATTCAGTGTCAACACAGGTCTAATAATGGCTTTTTTTGGCACAAACACACATTCCCTTCCTTGGAAACCTTTCTGGGCAGGTTAAACAACCACAGAACACCCTTAATGAGCTATTTTATTTTATCTTCTTCTACTAAAGTTGATTGCTGGCAGAATAAAAATCTCTTATGACRTGATGGGAGATTAACTTTGAATGAGATCAATGCTAAACTTCAGGTAAACTGCACCCCCCTGGTATTGTCCCCAATATTTAGAACCAGCTGTATGAGTGTCCATCTGGTGGCAGACGGCTCACAGCAACAGGAATAAAAAGGGGCATCTCCTGAGACATTTCAGTTCTGTGTGTTACAAACCCAGAATCTGAAAATGTTGATCCTAGATAAGCATTCCATCACTGCTCCTTCCTCTGGAAGTTCACACTGCCCAAATCTGTTGGCTCACCTKCCCCTGTGATCATTCTCTAATGTATGACTTGTAGAAGGTGAAGCAACAACAAAATCTAAATWGAAAAAATACATATTGTTTAGCCTAAATGATTTCTTTTTGCCAAGAATAGAGTAARAGTTCCCAGCCAAAACTGAAAGTAGTGATCCAGAGGATCTAGCAGGATCCAAGGAATCTGGCAGGAGCTCCTGCAGCTGGCAAAGCTGGAGGCAGCACAGGATCCAAGTGCCAGGGGAATACGAACACAATCCTGACAATGAGAAGGGTCCCAGAGCAGAAGGATCCAATCCCCCCCAAGAACTGAGCCTTTTCAACCAGAAAAGCAGTAAATTACATGAAAAAATTAACCCAGGAGAAGTACAATACCTTCTAAATCAGCCAGATAAAAAGTCCACCAAGCCCGACATCCTCAGACACAAACCCTCATGCAAAGAGCATGAGAAAGGAACACACACATCCCCTTGCCTTGTATTACCAGCAGTTTGGACACTTTGGATGCCAGCAGTGGGCACACTGAGCCACTCCCARCCCCTCTGGAAGCCACCTGAGCTTYCTGTGTCACYCTCAGCAGGTACAACCAGTGGCACAGTGACCACACTGAACTAACAACTCCTTCAGCTTATCCAAACCCCAGATGGTCAYTCCCCAGGCTGGGGGCAGGGGCATGGTTTTTAAGAAAGAACAGATCACCGTGGGCTTGCTCATGTCCCTCAAGGTTTTATAGGAATTGGCCAACTCCTTCTGAGCTGAAGTCTCCTGAAATTCAGGCTACTCAGAAGCTTCTTCCTGTCTCCATCATCCCTGTGATCTTTCCCTGCAAGGATTACACTCCCATTTCTTGGGATACACACAGTTCCGAGCACGCTGCATTTTAGATTTGGCAGCAACAACAGTTTGTATCACAACATGGTCATTTACTGCTTAGCACCTCCCATTTATCAAATACTCCCTAAAATTCCATGTGACTCTTGGGAGTTGTGCTTCCAGTGCACATGAAAACATGGTCTTTTCTTCTCCCYGAGCATTTCATCTGCCACTTTATCCCTCAGCAGGTCTCTATCTTTCACCATTCCTTTCAATTCACAATTAATTTCAAATTTAACTAATTTGCTTCAATTTGGCCACCTTAGTATTTAGGGACAATGTGCAGAGAGGATTTGCAAGAGCACTGATCTCTGGCAGGACGCTTGCTTGGGAAGAGCCCTTCTCTGTGAGAACCACCATTTACTCCTAACCCCATTTCCTGTCTTTTAACCCACTGCAAATCTATGAAAAACATTCTTGCCTTATGAGAGTTTTATTTCTTTCAAGGCCAGGGATGAGAGGCCTTCCCAAAATATTTTTACAAGTACACTACAGGAGCAAGTGCCTCACCTGTGTGTATCTCCCCAAGCAAAGTTTTATTACTTTGTAACTTCACAAGCTTTTGAAAAGATCATTTTAACACCTCCCATGTAAATCCCTGAAGGATTAATCACCCTCACAACACAAGACCACTTCCCTTTCCTCTCTCTTGCACCAAATCCAGCYATTTTCACACAACAGCACAGGAAAAATACTCAACTTTAAGTCTCCTAAGTTTTCCTGCACAGCAGATTGCAAGAAAAGAAAGAACAACCCAACCCTGGCTGACTTTTGGAGCTGATTAAATGCAACACAAAGCTGTCAAGGTCCAAAAAACCAGACAGCAAAGAGCCTTCATTCCCTCCCAATTACACCCCACTAGGAAAGCAGGCACTTGATTTTGGAGAAGAAACCAAAGCAACAAGGGCAGAACTCCAAACTGGGAGCTYTTCCAGTGTGAAGCTTCTGCAGAGGACTCCGAGCAGAGAGCAAGTCTGGAACAGCACTTTGGAATAACAACCACAGAGCAAATAGAGGAGACTGGATTAGAGAAACCAGGAATTTACACTCTCAGAAAATGAAATATTTCACTTGTTGTTCTGTAATAGACTCAAAACCCATCAATCCATCAATGCTGAGTGATTCCTCACTTTCATATCTGAGTCCTGAAAACARAGGCCTTTAATGAGAGGTACATTAAGGTTTGTTTTTTCCTTTTCTTGATGGACATGTTTTCATCTTACTCTATTCACAACCCATAAAAACCAACTTATTCTAAACCTCATATTAAACACYCAAAGGGTGACAGGATGGGAAGCTGATGGAGCTGTTGTTCCCCTCAGCAATGCAGGTGTTCCAATATCAAGGTCCTACCTTGGCAGYAGGAGTGACCCTCACCAAGAGCCTGTAAGCTTTTGGTACCTGCCTTACACAACTCTGCTCCCTCACCACACCATGGAAGCCTTTTCCTCGATTTTTCCAAGCTTTGAGGCACCACAACAGCCTCTTCTATCATTAAAGAGACCAAAAAGCCAACCATTCCAACTGCATAAAACTGAGGAACCGTTTGTAACAYAGAAAATTTAGATTTTTTTTTTCCCCAGAGACCTCAATGAATTAACCTCTCACAACAAACCACAAGGAAGCACAATGCACTTGCAACTTCAGCAAAAAAGTGAGTTTGCATTTTTAACAGCAGAGTTGCAAAGAAAGCAGAAAGTGAGACCAGTTGATTAAAGCTGCTGTTTCTGGTTAGCAGGAAAAAGGCCTGTGAAGATTTCTATGAAAGGTTAAACAGTTCAGTCTTGGTGAGCCCTTCCTCATTTTCTTTCTTGGTCCCTACAAGCAATTTTTTGAAGTATTCTGACATCTTCAAATGGCAAAGCAGACATGTGGACAAGATGGTGAAGCTTAACTATGTTACAAAGAGTAACCTGGAGGGAAACACCCTTTTCCCTATTCCACCAGTTTTACAGCACAAATCATGAACTCTCATGGTGCTTTTCCACACCCAACGTGCAGACAGAGGGAATTCTTGACTGAATTTCTCATATCTCTCACAAGAGATTAAACTCAGCAAATCAAATCTGCGTGAGGAAACATCTTTAACTTGCTAAGACAATCACAAAACCAAGGCCAAGTCACAAAGTCCTTCATAAACTCAGTTCAAAGAAAACAGCCCCACAAATGCACCTATAGACAGACTTTCAGCAGAATCCATTCACCCCTCTGGAATGCAGAACTCCAACAAGGATTTGTCTGCACTGATAAAATGCCCTTCCTATCAGCCTGAAGGTAAATATCTACCCAGCTAAGYATGCACCGGAAATACACGAAAAGCCTTTAATATCAAGTGTGAAAATTAACATTAAACTTGAGGAGTTCACCAGACATTTGCATAAAATTTTAATTAGCTGTATTATTGGCAACATATATCCTTAGATTAGACATTTACTGTAAATCACATGAAAAGTGAGGTTTTGAAAATAGTTATGAATYCAGTCAATCTGTGATCTGAATCTACAGACATCAATGTACATAAAAATATCCCTGCCTGACTGCCTCACCTCTCAGGTGGGAATACACACAAACACCCAGAGATTTCTATCAGGCTGGAATGACAAAGGCAGGTGATCCTCAGGG